CAAACTACTCAAAATTTCTGCTACCAGTTCTCCAGACCCTGTCAGAACCTGCTGAATTTCACCCCTGCTATTAGTGCCTTGAGTGGCTTCTGTGAGATGGGAAGCCATATAAATGTGTGGATGGATGGATGGATGGATGGATGGATGGATGGATGGATAGATAGTATTTAACACACACTGGAATGTGGGCTCTTGAAAGCATCCACCTGTTTCTGACAGGACCAGCAACTCCATCACAAGACATTGCAGGCAGTATAATTATTTTTGTAAAGGAAGATGCAATTTATGTTCCTGGCACAAAGTGTTGACAAGCATTATGCGTAAGATAACTCAGGGATGCTAAATGTTGCAATTAAATATGCCCGTAATTTTCATATTTCACTATTCTGTATTCAAAACACATTTGTTAGGGCATAATGAAGAGAATTAATATATTTTCTAAACTGGGATGAGTATGTTCATAAATTAGGATCAAGTTAAAAAGCAACTTTTCACCCATTATTTTCTACAATGTGATGTTTGTAAGTAAAAAATAATAATAATTCATACGCTCACAGTATTACGTTTGAATTTTTTATATGTAAACAATAATGCAAATTAAATCTTTCCTCGTTTATAATTAAATTCAGAGTCTGAATAGCATAAATGCTAATTAAGTACTCCATTTGATGACAAAATGAAGAACTAGGCTAATTTCAATTTGCAAATTCCCCTAATTACATTTTGTTTTAGAAAGTGAGTACAATATTGTATCATACTTTTTTAAAAAAATGAGTAATTTAACCATTATTCATTCATCTTTAAAAGACATACAAACACCATGCACATTAATACTTTTTTCTATAACGAATGATATGAATGAAGATTCCATTGATTTTCCTGATAAAAAAGATTTTGATATTAACTTAAATGTTTCCAATGTTAAATTTAGTATGATTCACAGATGCACACTTTGCTATGCATACTGCTAGGAAAAATAACAAGATATACCTTAAAATATTAATTCTTTCTATTAAAACTCACTTGGGTTACTTATGATTTTCAGCTTCGAAAAAGCTTTAAGACATCAAATTTGAAAGAACAGGTAAAAGACAGGCTGTCATAGAAAAATATTGATATATGGTGATTGCTAGAAATCAAAAATGACTTGATGCCTTTTTTGTAAAGGAAGATGCAATTACTGTCAATCAATCAATAAGACTTCTAAAGAGTCCACTTTCTGCATTGACAAACTTGGATTTTGCCTTCTACTCTACCTCAACCTGCATTTTTATAAGTTACCCCTCACTGCATGTCCAAGCACGTTGGGACAAAATATAAAAGTCGTAGTTTTTTTTAAAAAAATTGCATCCTTCTAGGCATTTGAAAAGTCCACCTTGTTTTTTGTCTCCTCAGACTGGATCTTTTAATCTCTCTTTACTGGACTATATTTCTGGACACTGAATATTGATGACCCTATTTGTCCTAATTCTTCATGAAGTGTAGTGTTAAAAATGACAGTTCTCAAGTTGGATTCAAAAGAATGCAGAACAAGTTAGAAGTATTATTTTTTTACTTCTGTTTATGTCTGTGGAGTTTCTCAGTCATCCACATCATAGTTGTCTCAAAGGTGCTTTTATTCTTCAAAAGGCAACTGGACTGTTTTTCCCTTGAGGAGGAAGTAGAAAACATTTCACTTCTCATCCAAGAAGCCTCATCAGTTCTGATGGCAGGACGATGGAAGGATAGGTTCTGATAAATGGTGGGAGGCAGGGAATGGAAGGGTTGTATTTCTCTGCAGTCATCTTCCAACTCAGAGAGTACTAATGACCAGATGACTGTAAATACAATCCTTCTATTCCTCCCACTGGACATCCTATCATAATCTCCCCTTTCATCCTACTACCATTCAGTCTCAACTGTCAGTACCAATCCTTCCATCCCACTGTCATTACCTATCCTTCCATCCCTCCCCCCATCATCAGAACTGATAAAGTTTCTTGGATGACAAGCAACACATTTTCTTCTTCCTCCTCAAGGAAAAAAACAACAACAGTCCAGTTGCCTTTTGGGGGGAAAAATAGCACCTTTGAGACTTCTGTTCATGTAAACTACGAGCATTTTTCACTATTTATATCACACTGCTAACTCATATTTAATTTGCACTCAACTATTAATCCAAGATCTCTTTTCTAAATCAGGGGTCCTCAACCTGCAGTCCATGGCCGTGGCATGCCAGAAACCTTCGCAAACAAGCGAAGCCACATCCGCGGGATGTAGGCAGCATGTGAAACCACGCCTCCTTTGGCCTGTGGAAAAACTCTCCCCGGAACCGGTCCCTGATGCCCAAAAAAGTTTGGTATTATAAAGCCAGATATTTTCCATCCTAAACTTGTGTGCTTGATTTTTATTTCACAAATAAAGAACCTTAGATTTGTTTTTGTTAAATAGTTATGTTATTTTCAGCCTACTTCTCTAGGTGATTTTGCCTGTCTTTGATAGTATTGCTATTTCTTTTTACAATGTTGTAACAATTAAGTCTTAATGAAAGTCTCATTTAATGGAAGATTACTAGTGCTGATTCTGACCCAGTGCACTCCTTATGACAATCCTTCAATCCATTTTAATAAGGAATTATTGATGGGATTCCTGGCTCCCGATGGATCTAATGAATTCACTGCATAGACATTCAGTCCAGCCTTGCTCAGTGTGCTAACAAGGATGTCATGGAGTTTTAAGAAATAACAGTAACTTTCAAGCAATAATTCTACGCCTCCTTTGTCTTGTAATAAACGTTGACTTCACTACTGCTAGGGATATTAAAAAATGAGTAAGCTGAATTCAGACATGAATCAGTGCAATGCAGTTTTTGGCATTAAAAAAGATGTGAAAATGCATATAAAATGCATACTGTAATGGCCACAAAATGCATATAAAAATACTTAACCATAAAATGCATTCCAAGTTGGAAGAGAATTAATAACAATATAACCAACCGCAACAGGAGCAAAATACTCTTATTTGCAAATTTTTAACAAAATCTGCTTAGCATTAATGATAAATCTTCTAAAATGTAAAAACTACATTTAACGAAATACCATTTAATTCAAAATGCATAGGACTATACTGTGAGAAGCATTTTAAAAAGTACTTTATAAAACATGTTAGGACCAAGGAAGATTCTTCAAATTGCTAAAACTCTACCTTGGCTCAAGCTCCCGCTTCAAAAGTCAGCTCTGCTTATCTCTATTAGTATGAGTGTGTATCACAGCATTGTGTTGCTGACAATCAGTGCAGCAGCATTGTTTTGTGTAAATATAGTAGATATCCTGGGTTGCCTTTGAAGCTGTGGGTCTAGCAAGAGACATAACTGCCTTAACATTTTAAAGAAAAGGTTTCTTACCACTAATAAGCTTTGCAAAACATCTCATTCAAATCCTCTATTCTACCACCCTACTATAACGGTAGTCTTTGATTTACAACCATTTGTTTAGGGATCATTTGAAGTTACAGCACCACTGAAAAAAATAACTTACGACTGTTTTTCACACTTATGACCATTTCAGCATTCCCATGGTCATGTGATCAAAATTTGGACACTTAGCAAGTGACTCGTATTTATGACGGTTGCAGCATACCAGGGTCATGTGATCATCTTTTGTGACAATCAAAGCCAATGGGGAAACCAGATTCCCTTTACAACCATGTTACTAATTTAACAATTGCTGTGATTCATTTAACAATTGTGGCCAGAAGGGTCGTAAAATGGGGCAACATTCACTTAACAACTATCCTGCTTAGCAATGGAAATTTTGGACTCAATTGTGGTTGTGAGTCAAGCCTGTTTATGTGAAGCAATTTTGCTTCTGACGTAATTGTTTTATATCCAACGTAGCTACTGCTAGTCTAAATTTGCTCATTGGTTGAAATCAACATTCTTTTGTCAAACTTTACAATAAGGCCTTTTTTTTTTAACAAAAGCATCAATTTTACAGAAAAAAAAAAAGCCAATGTAAAATCCACCCATTTTATCTTAACTTCCCTCACCTGTTCCCTTTCTTTCCTCTGTCTTGAGCAGAAGACACTTCATGGAAATATCGGGGTGAGCCCTTGGACTTTATTTTGTTACACCTTCTAAACAGAGAGAGACAAAAAAAAAGTATATAAAGCTTATAAACAGAATTCCGGGGATATAACCTCAAAGGTAATGCAGAAATGTTATCTAACTGAATTGCTATGCTATTTTTCTCTATACAACCTTCTTTGCTAGTCCCCGCCCCCAAGGGTTAATTATGCTTAGAATAATAGGGTTGGAAGGGGTCTTGGAGGTCTTCTAGTCCAATCTCCTGATTAGGCAGGAAACCCTATACCAGTGATGGCTAACCCTTTTGCCTGTTTTTCTCCTCCTGGAGGCTTCAGGTGGCTTCCCTGAAGCCCCTGGAGAGCGAAAAACCACCCAATGCACAAACTGGAAGTTCGGGAACAGAACTGAAAGTTCAGGGAAGCCTCCGGAGGGCGAAAAACAGCCGAAAATCAGCTGGTGCATGTGCACTGGAGCTGACAGGGCAATGCCTCATGTGCCCTCAGAAATGGCTCTGCGTGCCACCTGTGGCAGGCGTGCCACAGATTCACCATCACAGCCCTATACCATGTCAGACAAATGGTTATCCAAACTCTTCTTAAAAACTTCCAGTGTTGGTAGTTCTGGAGGCAAGTTGTTCCACTGATTAATTTTTCTAACTGTCAGGAAATTTCTCCTTAGTTCTAGTTTGCTTCTCTCCTTGTTTAGTTTCCATCCATTGCTTCTTGTCCTACCCTCAGGTGTTTTGGAGAATAGCTTGACTCCCTCTTCTTTGTGGCAGCCCCTGAGATATTGGAACACTACTATCATGTCATCCCTAGTCCTTCTTCTCATTAAACTGGACATACACAATTCCAGAAACTGTTCTTTATATGTTTTATATTTCACAAGGTCTGATTTATAGGCATTTTAATAATAATAATAATGAAAATATCATACAGCCTTTTACTTGGCTGTCCAGTTTCTATCCATAGATCTGAAATCAGAGGTTCTCATGAATGAAAAACTCGGCAGGATCTATCTTTTGTTAGAATTTGAGATTGGCTGTATCTCAAAAGATAGAAAAGAGAGGAATACGATAGAAGAGATTGGGGTTTCTGATTTCATAGTTGGGAGTGGGATACATAGGACAGTTCATCAGAATACAGAAAAGCTTCCTTAAGTTTCCACAAAATAATTTTTTAAGAAAATAAAAACCATATCCATATTGACATTAAATTGGAAAATGCCTAGAGCGTGACAGGAAAGGACATTAAGAAGCAGTGGCACAACTGGATTAGCCCAAAGTACAGAGTTTAAATAAAAGAATAAATAAAGCTGGCTGGAGTGAGTATCAGTCAGATGGGAGGCATAAAAAAATGAATAAACAAACAAGCAAACAAGATACTCTGATTCTCTCCTCTGAAGAAATTCATAAATCCAGCACATAATATTACTCTGTGACATAACTACTGAAAGTCAGCTATCTCTCCATGTGCTCAGAAACTCCAGGTCAAGGACTGATGGTATTTTCAGAATATTAGTTCATATGCTTTTGGATAATTTCATTTCAGACTATTTTCTTTTCAGCACCTGTAAATTATGATAATCTATAGAATACATCTCCACAACGGATATGACATGGAACTGGAATATCTTTGGGAAACTGTAGATGAGTTGCACAGGCTGGGGTTGATTGGTTTGGTTTCTTTTTAATCTAGGAAGTTTGATAAACAGGGTCTCGCCTATTTTAAAAATGATTCTCTTTAAGTAATTGGATAAGCCTTAAGAAATGGAAGCCTTAAGAAATGAAATGTTACCATGTTCTTCTACAAAACTTCATGGCCTTGGCTGCTGTAGCCCCAACTCTGAAGAATGTCATCAGCAATGAAAAACAAATTTTACATACACACTTCTGAAAAATTACTCTTACATTGGTTGTTTATGTTCAGATGTTTCTCCCATTTTCCTTATGGATGTTACAATACTTGCATGTTATTTTGTGACTTGATATTGTAATGAAAATGTCAGGCCTACAGCCTTTTGGATCTTTGGCCTGCCACACTTTCTAATATTCTACTATGCTGTTTCTATAGTGGGGAATTGGGAGGGGGGATAGTAGGAAGTAAAATGCTATGTAGCCAAAATAAAATTCCTTTCTAGAATGCCAAGGTCATCTTTTGTCTTGGTACCTCTGCACCTGACTGGAACTGGATGGGTGGAACTGCCAGCATGGCAGTGGAACATTGGACTGTGTGATGGCCTTGTGGGTGTGGGAGCAAGATCATGAACTTTAACCTGGATGGGGAAAACCGAGAAACTTCAGATTTGGGTTTTCCAGATGTGCCAAAATGGCTCTCTTAATAAATTGGAACTTTGAGCAGTACTTTGCCTTGGACTCTGATTTAATTTTGGATACTATTTGGAACCCTGACAGAAAGTGGCTTATAGGTAGGACACTCTATCCTGGCACTGTTCTCTTTTGAAGCAACCTTTTAGTAATGGGGAGGGAGGGGATAACAGTTAAATGAGGCTGCGTTGCTCTGGACAAAATAATGCGAAGTAGCATGTCAGGGCTAATTTAGCCACATGAGTCAGTTACTATAACAACTAAACAATGCCAGCATAGTATGTATGGCATTCCTATTCTTGAATCTCTTCCTTAACAAAAATGGCTTTAATTACTAGGTAAAGGTAAAGGTTCCCCTCACACATATGTGCTAGTCATTCCCAATTCTAGGGGGCAGTGCTCATCTCCGTTTCAAAGCTGAAGAGCCAGTGCTGTCCGAAGACGTCTCTGTAGTCATGTGGCCGGCATGACTCAACGCCGAAGGTGCACAGAACGCTGTTACCTTCCCACAAAAGCTGGTTCCTATTTTTCTACTTGCATTTTTACATGCTTTCGAACTGCTAGGTTGGCAGAAGCCGGGACAAGTAACGGGAGCTCACTCCATTATGCGGTGCTAGGGATTTGAACTGTTGAACTGCTGACCTTTCTGATCGAAAAGCTCAGCGTCTTAGCCACTGAGTCCCTGTTTATTAAATTATTTAATTAATTTAAATATTTAATTAATTATTTTTAATTATTACAACATGTTTAAAAAGCTTTCAAGAGAATGTTTCTTTTAAGTCTGAAAACAGCCTTGTGCAGTTAGCTACTGGTGAAAAATCACTGATTTCCTGAACATAAGTAATCTGATACAGTATTCCTCTACTTATGACTGGTTGCTTACACGCTGAAAAAGGGGTATTTGTGAGCCAGACATTAATTCTGATGATTATTTCCACCCCTCATGGTCAGTGCTTGGATGCTTCTGTTACTTCTGTTTCCAGCAAAAACTATCCATTGTGGGCAAAACCCACCCATTGCAGGCACACTTAATGACCACAATGTTCACTTAATGACCCACAGCATTTGCTTTATTTCTACTGTGTTCGCGTAACAATTGCAGTAGAAAAGGTTGTAAAATCAGGCGTAGTCACAGAATGATCTGCTTAACAACTGTAACTCTTAAATCAAGGACTGCTTGTAGTATAAGTGAGAAGGAGGCTGAAAATAACTCAGCTACAAGATGTTACCACATAGGCTAAATTGCTAGATGCCCTCTAAAGCAGCCTGCCTTGTACTTTGTAAAGTGAAGTGTGTTGTAACACCACAGAGGGAAACATACTATATTTCTTAAAAGCCACTACTAACATCTAATAACTCCTACTGACTTTCTCGGTTCTTTTTTTAAAAGTAATGGTTATTCCGAAGCTAAGCACACTCCCCTGTGTATCTAAACATACCAAGGTATGTAAAATATATAATGGAATATTACAATTTCAGATATCAGGCTAGATGGGCTGGAATAATTAAAAGATTATTTGCAGTAACTAGGTAGGGGTGCAAATCAGAAACCTTTGCAGTTGGAAATGTGAATTAATTTCTTTACTCGCTGGAAGTCAGGAGTGGCTGTAATTTATATTCCACTTAAGAGTTGCTGTTGTTTGAAAACTAAAATGTTAATTGCCTCTTCCTATTTTTATACTTCTGTCCCCTCTGTGCCCCAAGGTGGCACAGTGGTTAAATGCAGCACTGCAGGCTACTGCTAGATCAGCAGGTCAGCGGTTCAAATCTCACCG